CCAAACCCCCTGATCGCCCTGCGGCTCTGTGTGTGACAGGGGGCAGCGCCCCAACCCCCTGATCGGCCCTGCTCTGTGCATGACAGGGGGCAGTGCCCAACCCCCTGATTGGCCCTGCTCTGTGTGTGACAGGGGGCAGCGCCCCAACCCCCTGATCGGCCCTGCTCTGTGCATGACAGGGGGCAGTGCCCAACCCCCTGATTGGCCCTGCTCTGTGTGTGACAGGGTAGAGCCATAACCTCTCCATCAGCCCTGCCCCGAGTGTGACAGTGGTGGCGCCCCAACCCCCCTGATGGGCCCTGCTCTGTGCGTGACAGGGGGCAGCGCCCCAACCCCCTGATCGGCCCTGCTCTGTGCATGACAGGGGGCAGTGCCCAACCCCCTGATTGGCCCTGCTCTGTGCGTGACAGGGGGTGGCGCCGCAACCTCCCCATCGACCCTGCCTTGAGTGTGACAGGGGGCGGTGCCCCAACCCCCCAATCGGCCCTACCCTGAGCGTGACTGAGGGTGGCATCGCAACCTCCCGATCCGCCCTGCTCTGTGCATGACGGGGGGCGGCGCCCCAACTCCCCAATCGGCCCTGCTCTGAGCCTGACCAGGGGCTGCACCTAGGGATTGGGCCTGCCCTCTGCCACCCGGGAGCAGGCCTAAGCCAGCAGGTCGTTATCTCCCGAGGGGTCCCAGACTGCGAGAGGGCACAAGCCGGGCTGGGGGACCCCCCCCACCCAGTGCACAAATTTAGTCCTATATAATAAAATGGTAATATGCAAGTTGACCCTAACAGCGGAATGACCAGTTGCTATGACATGCACTGACCACCAAGGGCAGACCCTCAACACATAAGCTGCCCCCTGGTGGTCAGTGTGCTCCCACAGGGGGAGCTCTGCTCAGCCGCAAGCCAGGCTGATGGCTGCGAGCGCAGCTGTGGTGGTGGGAGCCTCTCCCGCCTCCTCGGCAGCACTAAGGATGTCTGACTGTGGCTTAGGGGAAAGGCCCTAAGCCATAGTAGGACATCCCCTGAGGGCTCCCAGGCTGCCAGAGAGATGTCTGACTGCCAGCTTAGGCCCCATCCCCCGGGGAGTGGGCCTAAGATGGCAGGTGGACATCCCCCGAGGGGTCCTGGACTGCAACAGGGTGCAGGCCGGGCTGAGGGGACTCCCCCCCCTCGCAACTGCCGAGTGCACAAATTTTCATGCACCAGGCCTCTAGTATCTTAATAAATGACAAAACTTCACAGACAGTGACTTTGGGTTTCAATGGGAAACAATCTCCCCTTCCTTACCTGGCTCACATCTGGGTGGGGAGCTCAAGTCTTCCTCAAGCTCTTCTCCATCACAGGGCTCCCAAGAGGCATTATTGTCCACTGCAGAAAGAGTTGAACTCCCTCAGAGGTCTCACAACCAGGAGGAAATGGGACAGCTGCTCCAAGGACCTCACCTGAGATCCAATCAAGCCCTGGTCTGCCTCTGTTCCCATCTCATTCACCTCCCTTTCCTGCTCTCTGCTTCTCAGTTACCTATAGACCTGTCTCCAGACATTTCTCCTCTGCACAAGGGGTATATTTGTGCATCTTTGATTTTGTGAGCTCTGCTCCCACTGACTTCTATCTCATTACTTTTCTATCTTCTTTTATCCTCAATGGTGATCTTGATCTCTTCTTTTCAGATTATTTTCTCTAGTTCTATTCTCCCAGGTCTCTCCAATCCCTACACCAGAATCTGGTCCTTGGCTCACTGTCTGGATTTCTTCCCTCCCTACTGACATGCTTTATTTGTGAAGTAGAAGTGTCTCAGCATCAAGTCTTGTTCTTTCCCTGGGAGCCTGCAAGTTCCCCTTTGGAATCTGACTGTGTCACCACATTAACCCCCACCAGCCTCACACAGCCATCACCTGTAGTGAAATACTTGGGACATGGGTCTCTGCTTATCCTCCTACTTTGATCTTGGGGGAAACAAGTATCCCATTTCCTTATCTCTAAGGAGGGACAGTAACAGCTTCCCTGGCTAAGTACTAAAGTTTGTGAGGAAGTCACATTTTCCCAAGTACTTTGAAAGAAAGAAGTGCTATGTAATACAATAATTTTATGAAAATATGAGGAAGAAAAACTGTAATTTGATCTTGAGACTCATTGGTTGTTGTTTTTAACAAGCAGATCTCAGAACCATGTTTCTTTTGAAGCCTACCCAAGGTTACAGCAACATAAAAAATTATTATTAATCACTAAATAAACACTACATTTTAATACTTTATATAGAAAATAAAGGTGGGCAGGGTTAAAATCACAGTATTGAGTCTTTAGTATCAATAAAAATAAAGAATGTGAAAAACGCTATCTTTCCTTGGTATTCATCTACCACAAAATGAATAGGTAACACACCTATTCTAACACTAAGGGTCCTGCTGTTCAGCTCTGGATTCAGCCTCCTGACACCCTTCAGCCAAGGGCTAGCAATGCCCCCTTCCTTACCTGGCTCACATCTGGGTGGGGAGCTCAAGTTTTCCTCGATCTCTTCTCCATCACAGGGCTCCCAAGAGGCAGTGCTGTCCTCTGCAGAAAGAATTGAACTTCATCAGAGGTCTCTGTATACAACCAGGGGGAATCATGGCAATTAAACTCATAGTGAACATGTAGGAAGCTCAGGTATCCCCTAACTAGGACTGTCCATGTCCCAGACCATCCTGGTCTGCCCTTTGCATTCACCTGTCTTGAAGATTGGCCCTCTTCTATCACTGTCCCCAGAGGCTGAGAACCATCCACCGTCTTCCTCCCTTCAGTACATCTAATCTTCTACTTCTTTCCCAGCCCCATTGCCTTTGCACATTGTTTCTGTCTCCACCCTGTTTCCTGCTGCCAGTGTCACTAGATGCTTCTAATTGTTCATAATGTGTTTCTGTTTCCCCTGCTCCTATCTCTTTTTCTCTTGAGCTCCTGACACTGCTCTTTGTTGACTTTTCTCATCTCACTTATCTCTGTCTCACTCCCTTTCAGGAAAGGCATCCTTGAAATAGTATAATATAACCTGATCGGGGAATGGGATAAGGAACAGAATAAGCCAAAGCAATACCACCCAACAAAAGGAAGAGTTGTTCAAAGGCCCACATATAAAAGAAAGATCAGAGCATTGCAATAACTGAAAATATTTATACTTTCATTAGAGATGAGGCAGAAGTCATAAGTTGGAGCCCCATGATGAATGGAAGGCAAAGAAATGCCCAGGAAGAAGGAAAACTAATTTAATCCAAGGGCAACAAAGGTCACCAGGTTTATGTGGGAAAATAATATGATCTGATTTACATTTTGCAAATAGCAATCATGCTAAAGTGAAGAAAATGGGTGGGCTGAGAGCAAGAGAAATGGGGAACTCCACACCCAGATGTGAGCCAGGTAAGGAGGAGGGGAATCCAACCCTGGAGAAGGAGGAGTTTCTGTCTCACAAAATAAAATGTTGGTTTCAATCTTGGAAGTGTCAGTTCCTGAAAGACATACAAATGGACAAGGTCTTGGGATAAATGCCATCAGTTCATAGATTGATGACCTTGGGAGACAGGTCTGCGTATCAGACATGCTCTTCAGACTCATTCTGTTACTGGAGAGTAGCTGAGGGTGCCAGGGAGAAGAGCATTATTCTGAGTATGTTATGGGAACTACTCTATCTGGGGAGACCTTAATCTTAAAACTCACTACTGAGATGCCCACTTTTGCTGGCAGATGCTTCTGTTTAGTGACTTGTACTTGAGCCTTACAGGATCCCAACTCCTCTCCTTTCTTCCTTATACAGCAGTTTTCACTCTTTGTTGATTCTAAAACTATTTTGATAGAACTCTTCCTCTCACGTAGTTCCCTTTGTGCTTCCTTCCACATTACTTATTATTTTGGGTATTTATTAGCCTCTCTATGTAATTTTTCTGGTTTTTAATCTCTGTATCTCATTTCTTTATTGAAATTATACCCTTTCTACTTTGTCTGCCACTTTCTTCTTTTCTATCTCTGAGTCTGGATGCCTGTAAAAATTCCCATTATCCTATCTAATAAACAGGTAATATGCAAATTGACCATTACTCCAACACACAAGATGGCTGCCCCCATGTGGACACAAGATGGCCGTCACAGGATGGCTGGCAGGGGAGGACAGTTAGGGGCGACCAGGCTGGCAGGGAAGGGCAGTTAGGGGTGACTAGGCAGGCAGGGGAGGGCAGTTAGGGGCAATTGGTATGGCAGGGGAGCACTTAGGCATTGATCAGGCTGGCAGGGGAGTGGTTAGGAGGTGATCAGGCTGGCAGGCAGATGCGGTTAGGGGCACTCAGGCAGGCAGGCAGGCAAGTGGTTAGGAGCCAACAGTCCCGGATTGTGAGAGGGATGCCCAACTGCCAGTTTAGGCCCAATCCCTGCAGGCCTAAACCAGCAGCCGGACATCCCCCAAGGGATCCCGGATTGGAGAGGCACACACACACACACACACATACTCGTGCATGAAATTCATGCACTGGGCCTCTAGTTTTATATATTTTCTTCATTCTCACAGGTCCCTTCTCCCAAACTGACAAAAAATCTTCCATTTCACATGGACCACAATGCCAGGGAGCCTACCCTAATCAGTTCTATCCTAACAGTCTAAAGAGCCTTTTTAAATTGCAAGCCTCTCAATCATTCACAAAACTTATTTCTGTGTTCCTGGTATTTCCAGAAGTAGGCTGAAAATGATCTCCTTACCTGATTTGCCATAACCTGCTGCTATCTGCATTTTGCATGCATTTAATAAAATTGTCCAGGCAAAGGCCCCAGCCCGCCTTTGGCATATTCTGTCTTTCTCTGTTCTCCATGAAGGGATCCCCACTCCTTCCAGTAGCTGAGCTCACCTTTATTCTTTGTCTCTCTCCTAGTTTGGAGAAAGCAAAGCAACCCCATCTGTATGAATGTGAAAATGAGGATGAAGATGGGAGGTTGGGAAAAGGGGAGATTTTTTTTCCTCTGCTGACCAAAAGACAAAGATACACTGAGGAAGCTTGGAATTTAAATCATAATTACCTTCTCCCTCAGCAGGTTGTAGGCTTAGCACCTTCTGTACTTCTCCTTCATTCGTCATTTCTGAAGCTTTGGGATCACATGTCACTGCAGAGAAACAAGAACATGATGGACCCTGGAGGGCGATCAGAAATGGACCTCAGGGTGTTTGTGCCCACCATGATGAGGACGTGGTGAGTCTGCCCCAAACATGGGTCCTGAGAGCCATGCCATCTTGTTCTGCTTTTTTGCCATCATATGACACCTCCTTCTCTCTGATTCTGGTCCTTCCTACAGCTCTGCATCCATGCATTTCTGTTTCCTCACTGTGCACTGTTTTGATAGTCAGCTTTTTCTCCCCATCTCTTCTTTTTAGGTCTAGTTTTTGGCTGTTGTTTTTTCAGGGATAGCATGTCATTTCTTCAATTATGTTTTCTATCTCTCTGATTCCAGATCTCTCTTAGCCCAGTTGGTTGGAGCATTCCTATATGCTCTCTCAGGGGTTTCCCTTCCCTACCCAATAACATTATTTTTTTTTCCTTAATTAAGGTCTTACATTGGAATCTGGGTGTACTACATGGGAACCTGCAGAATTCCTAGACTTCCTGATTCTCTTCTGACCCGCCCTGAACACCTGCAGGCTTCCCTAAACTGTCACCCTCGGTGACACACCAGGAACTCTTGTGCCACTCTTCTTTTTCTACTTTGACCTTAAAAACTGACCTGCATGACTTTCTGTGCTTTATTTCCTTGTCCATAAAATAGAGTTACAATAATTTGCATGTCTGTGTCTTAGGTTTTGTAAAGGTTAAAGGTCTTGCACAATCCAATAATCTTATGGAGACTGTCAGACACCTTGCATCCTTGTCTTCCACACCTGTTCTTTCTCATTTTCACCCTTTCCACCCGTCTCTTCTTCTTCTATTTCTACCTCTGATTCTTGCTGATGGAATCTCTTGGCACTTCTCTTTGTCCCAATTTGTTTCTTTTACCATGTCTGTCCCCACCTCCCTATTTTCCCTCCTGCTTCCCTAAGCCGTGTGTTATGTCTTTTCCCATCTGATTCTGCAGCTTTCCAGAACTATCAGTCAGAAAAGGCACCTTTGAGATAATATTAATTTCCACATAAATTTATCAAATTAATGAGCAGAATGGAAAGCAGAGTGGGGCAAAACAAACAAACACTGGTTCCCAGCACAGAGCTACACATGTGCAAAGGCTCAGATGAGAAAGAGTAGTCAAAAAATCAAAATTCCTGGCATTTACCCAAAGTTTTGAAGTGATAGCAGGAGAGGCAGGAAAGGAGGAGAAAGAATTGGTCTTTCTCTATACCAGTGGTTCCCCACCTTTTTTTTTTTTGGCCATACCCTACCTAAGCATCTGTAAAATCCTAATGCCTCTCCTGTGACCTATGATTTTTATTATTCAAAAAGTGAACTCCTATTAACATGGAGGAAACCTAAAAGTCCATTAACTTGGTCTAAACAAGCTTCCAAAAAACATGGCATCCATGAAAGAGAAAAATAAAAGAACAAAAGGAAAGTTGAAGTACTGAGGAAGAAATCACTAAGAAATTGTTTTAAAAAATAATATGAAGTGATATGAAAAAATAGCAAATAAAGTTTCAAAACATATAATAGAGAATTGAAATGCATAAAAATGTTGCAATATATATTTATATACTGTATATGAGGCCCCAAGAACCATAAGAAATACAAAAACTTCACTGTTAATAACTCACTCTCAAATTGCCCCTCTTAAAAATAAAATTGCTCTACCTTGGGAACCACTGCTCTATAATGACAAGAAAGTCCAGCTTTAATTCCAAAATAGAGCATTTAAATACTAATTACCGTCTCCATCATAAGGCAGTAACTTGGGCATTTCTTCTATTTCTCCTCTTTCATCCATTTGTAGATCAACAAGTTCCAAAGGCACTAAAGAGAGAATCAGGACCATGATGAACAATTGAGAGTCACCTGAACTCTACCTTGACGTGGTCATGTCCAGAGTGCATCAGAGCTCTGATGTTCAGAGGGTGGGAGAACTGCTCCTTGGGGATAAAAGTATGTTACACCAAACAAGCTTTGCTCTGCACCCCTGAGCACTTTGTTAGGCCTGTTTCCCCTTTCTCCTCTTTTTTATCCCTCTGACCCTATTTCTACACATTGCTGCATCTGCACGCCGAGGCTATTTGTGGATCCCTTTGACTATAACTTTCTATCCCTGACTTCTACCATCTCTGCATTTCTGTCTTCTTTCTCCATGATATTCTTCAGCTTTTTGCTCCATTGTGTTTCTACTTATTCTTTTAACTCACTTCCTCTTTGTTTTTCCTATACATAGTATTTCATTATTCCCATTCAATCCCTAAAGAGTGAGTTTAAAATTCTCTTTCTTCCCAAACTCTAAACTGGTAGTATTTAGATATCATATACATTTAGATCAAATTCAGCTTAATTAGACAACTCCATTGGATTCCACAAATCTACATATTTATTATTTTCTACTCTTCAATTGTCCTTCCAGGAGACCCTTCATTAAGGTGCTTACTCCTCCTTTCCTCCTTGCCTCCACATGCCCAGGGAGAGCAACCAGAGAGAAAGAGAAAAAGTATGAGCTTATGTCTGAGGGAAGGAAGGGAAGCTTCCCTTGTATATAGAAAATCAAACAAATATAGTGAGGTATTTAGTCATTTACAGCATGATTACCTCCCCCATTGACTGGAAGCAGTTTTGGTATCTCTTCAGAATCACCTCGTCTAGTCCTTTGGAGAGCTTCGTGCTCACAGGAAACTGAAGAGAAACACGGAAATGACCAACCAGTCATGGTGACCTGGGCATAGACTCAGAGAGCTCAGCTGAATCCTGGTGTTCAGCACTCAGGTGAGCTTCTCCTTGGGCAAAAGGTACAGCTGCTCCTATAGCCTTACTTTACCTCTTTTCCTTTGTGTTTTCCCTCAGTCACCTCATTTTCTGTCGCCACACACTTTGCTTCTGCACCATGAAGGATTGCTCACCTCCTTGACTTTCTGGCTTTCCTCTCAGTCCTTTATTTCTTCATTGTTCTTTATCACTTTTCCAGCTCATGGCTCCCTTTTTCTTTTTAGCTCTCTTGCATCCCTCATGGCAAGTTCCTTCCTACCATCTCTTTCTGCTCTTCCCTGTTCTTGCCAACAAAATATACTTGTTGAATGACAGTCTCCTTGCATCAGGCTCTGTTTCACTCCCTTGGTACGTGCAGACCTTATGGGTTCTCCTAAATGAACTCAGCACAGATGACCCTGGTTGCCCTGACCCTTTGTCAGCCCCACATGACCATAACCACACAGAGTCATCAAGGATTCTGGTCCACCAACTTGCTTGACTAATTTGAAATAGTAAAAGACCCTTCTATGTTTCAGATAAAATGACATCTTGTTTGCCAAAATTCTTTGAAAAATTAAATAACATAATGCAAAACTTTTGATAAAAATTATAATTTAGGTTTGAGGGCAATTGATCTGAAGGACCATGTTTCCTTTGAGGGTTTTCCAAAGTTAGGCACAAAATAATCCTATATAATAAAAGTCTAATATGCTAACTGTCCAGTTGTCCGGTCATCCATTCAACCAATCAGAGTGTAATATGCTACTGATATGCTAAGGCTGCTCAACCACTCCCTACGATGTGCACTGACCACCAGGGGGCAGACAGTTGACCGATTGATCAGTTGCTATGACATGCACTGATGACCAGGGGGCAGATGCTCCAACCGATAGGTTAGCTTGTTGCTGTGGTCCGGCTGATCAGGACTGAGGGAAATGGGCCAGACACACCCTGGAGCCCTCTTACAGTCCCTCCCCAGCTGGCCAACCTCCTGCATCCCTCCCCAGCCCCAATCATGCACCAGTGGGGTCCCTTGGCCTGGCCTGTGCCCTCTCACAATCTGGGACCCCTCAGGGGATGTCAGAGAGCCGGTTTTGGCCTGATTCCACAGGCCAGGCTGAGGGACCCCACTGGTGCATGAATTCATGCCCCGGGCCTCTCGTAACATTATAAACAATGAGAATAATACTTAGTTTTTATTCTGTAGGGAAGAGAAAGGGTGGGTAGGTATAAATTCAAGTCTTTAGTTTTAATAGATATAAAAAGCACCTTCTTTCTTTACATATTTGCACTAGAATATACATTTAGAAACATTAATATGACTCATGAAGTTTTATGGCACACTGAATCTTTTGACAGTGGAGTGTGTTCACAATTTGACGCATCAGGAAATGCCACTTCTGAAGTTAGCCACCTGCAGCCCAGAGCTGCCAATTTCCCCTTTCTTACCTGGTTCATGTCTCCGTGGGGAGCTCAAAGCTTCCTGGGGCTCTTCTCCATCACAGGTTACACAACAGGCCTTTCTGTCCTCTTCAGAAAGAATTGAAATCCCACTGGCATCTCAATTTATGACCAAGAAGGAATCACCACAAGAAAATAATGAGAAAACCAAGAAGGTTGATAATCTGGAATGCCCCATTCTGCAAAATGACCCAACCTAAAGGTTAACTTTGCTTCAGTAGTTTTCCTATAGATTGAGACTGATTCACTCATCATGGGGAAAAGTTCTCATTCTCTTTATCTTCCCTTCCCATTTCATTCTGTACATTTTATCAAGATCTGCCTGTTTCTTTCTGCTGGTGTCTCTTGGAGCTTCTCTTTCTCTTGGTGTCTTTCTCTCCTCTCCTCTCCTCCTTTTGCTCTCTTGCTGTGATACTGCTTTTTCTCTCCTACCCTTTGTCTCGCAGTTGTTCTTTCTACCTTTCTCTCTCTCTAAAAAATAAAATAAAATAAAGTCTTCTCTGAGAGAGTCTGTTTTAAACAAGTTTTAACCAGACTAGAAAGGGTAATTGGATGGTAGTGGAACAAAAAGACTGTTCTAAAAAGACATATGAGAAGGCTCAGAAATGAAAGAAAAATTTAACACTTAAAATGATTTGGAAAGAAGGTTTTTGCTATGTTGAATAGTGTAGGAGGCAGGTAATGAGGCTGGGGAAATAGGCAGTGGCTCATTGTGGATGACTCTGGATGCCGCTGAAATACGTAATCTTCATCTATTAATGAGATAAGTACAAAAATAATACAATCTAATTTTTATTTTCAAATGTTCTATCTAGCTAAAATGTAAAGAACTTATTTCATGGGAGCAAGATTAGAAAGAGATGAGCAGGTGGCTGTTGTTCTGAGAACCATGACTCAGATCTGGATTAGAGACTTGTGCATGGGGATGTGAGAGAAGGACAGGTGGGAGATATTCTGAAAATCAAATGACTAGGTTAAGCGGGACACGGGCATGTACTTGAGGGCAAGAGCAGTCATGGTGACTCCTAGGTTTGAAAAACCATGGGACCATAATGATCCCTTACTGAGAGAAGAATGCTGAGCAGGGCTTAGGTCAGGGCTTAGATCTTTGCTATGGAATCATGTGCACTAATAAATGTTACAAAGATAACTCTTTTAATAAATCCTGACAGCTGCAGAAAAAAAATATATTCCTAAAATATGAGAACCTAATATATTGCTTTATTTAGAGTCTGACTATACAAGAGGATTTTAAAACATAAATACCAGACTTTTAAAAAATATTTTATTGGTTTTTTTACAGGGAGGAAAGGAGAGGGATAGAGAGTTAGAAACATTGATGAGAGAGAAACATCGATCAGCTACCTCCTGCACACTCCCCACTGGGGATGTGCCCGCAACCAAGGTACATGTCCTTGACTGGAATCAAACCTGGGACCCTTCAGTCCGCAGGCTGACACTCTATCCACTGAGGCAAACCGGTTAGGGCCAGACTTTTATTTTGTCAGATTCAGTTCCTTTGCTAGATCCTTAAGCCAGCAATGCCGCTATTCAAATTCATATTTTGTAATTTCTGAGTTAGTCATAAAAATCAGTCTTATTTTGTATGTTTTACTTCTGTACTTTATTATTTCATGTTTTATTGATTTTAAAGAGAGAGAGAGAGAGAGAGAGAGAGAGAGAGAAGGAGAGGGAGTGAGGAAGAACCAAGATGGCAGCATAGGTAAACACCTGTACTTACTGCCTCCCACAACCACATCAAAATTACAACTAAAATACAGAACAGCTATCATCCAGAACCACAGGAAAGCTGGCTGAGTGGAAGTATTACAACTAGAGAGGTAAAGAAGAAAGTACACTGAGACTGGCTGGAGGTGCGGAGGCATGGAACAGGTTGCAGGTTGGTCTGACACCCGGGTGTGCTGCTTCTTTAATCGGGAGGGAGATGACCTCTTCAGAGGCTGCCTGGAGGAGCGAGGGATCCCAGCCCCACACCAGAGCCCCAGCCCAGGGTCCCAGAACTGGGGAAAAAAGTCCCTACCGTCCTTAAGAACTATGGACTATAAAAACCAGTGTGAATTGGGGCTGAGTGAACTGAATTTACAAGTTCCCACTTCCTCGGAGCTCCAGTGCTTGGTGAGGCTCTAGGGGACCCAGACACATACAGGGAGAAACTGGACTGTCTGGACAGGAACTTGGGGGTGGCTTTCTTCCAGACGGAAGTGCTCAAAGCGGTCATTGTTCCTGTGCTGAAACCTCCCAGATGCATGGCTGACTGGCAGCCACTTCTGTTTGCTCTGCCCTGGTGATTCCCTGAGACCCCACCCTACCCAATTTACAACCCCACCCAAGCTGTGAGCAGTGGCTTTTGTATATGAATGGCCTGTCCTTTCCCAGGCAAAAAACCTGTTAAACAAGCTGCAACTGGGTCAGGGAGCCCAAAACCTATCAATAAAAGGCCCAAAAACCAGCACCAGCACCAGCCTGCCTTGATTTACAGCTGGGCCTCATCCAGCCACTTCCAAACCCAATACAAAGAGGAGGAATCTGCAGATCTCTCTGTAGCTCCTGCTGGATAGCCCCAGGCAGTAGCTGACTTTACATCTCCCTGGAGTCCCAAGAGCCAGTGTACCAGTGGTCAGTGTGAGACCATACCAGATTACAACTCTTCACATCCATAAGCAACACACTCAAGGGGCAGACTCAGTGAGCACCAAAGCCCCACTGAAGCAAGTCCTGCTCCATAAGGGTGACTCCTGCACAGCAGCTCTCCCACTGTAATCGCAGCTGGACCCCACAGCCAACTGGCCTGGAAGTCAATTCCTCCCAGTAACACCAACAGCAATCAAAGCTCAACTACAACAAAACTGTGCACACAGCCCACAAAGGAGTGCACCAAGAGTGTCTACCTCAGGTGATTGGGGAGGCTGAGCCACTGGGTCTATAGGACACCTACTACACAGGGCCACTCTATCAACTCAAAGAGACTTAGCAGCTACCCAATACACAGAAACAAACACAGGGAAGCAGCCAAAATGCAGAGACAAAGAAACATGTCACAAATAAAAGAAATGGAAGAAAGCAAACTACTGGATATAGAGTTCAAAAACCATTGTTATAAGGTTACTCAAGAGTCTTCTAGAAACCTCTGAGGAACTTAGTGAGACTTTCAAGGATCTTAATGAGAATGCCAAAAAAAAAAAAAAAAAAGGAAAAGGACCAGTGAGAAATTAAGCATACACTGACTGAAATAAAGAATAATATACAGAGATTTAACAGTAGATTAGAGGATCTGGAGAATCAAATCAATAATTTGAAATATGAGGAAGCAAAAAACACCCAACTAGAAGAGCAAAAAGAATCCAAATATATGAAAATAGTGTGAACTTCAAGTGTACCAACATCTGAATTATAGGGGTGCCAGAAGAAGAGAGAGAGCAAGATACTGACAACTTATTTGAAGAAATAATGACAGAAAACTTCCCCTACCTGGTGAAAGAAATAGACTAACAAGTCCAGGAAGTACAGAGAACCCCAAACAAGAGGAATCCAAAGAGGACCACATCAAGACACATCATAATTAAAATGCCCAGGGCAAAAGACAAAGAGAAAATCTTAAAAGCAGCAAGAGAAAAACAGTTAGTTACCTACAAAGGAGTGCCCATACAACTGTCAGTGATTTCTCAACAGAAACTATGCAAGCCAGAAAGGAGTGGCAATAAATATTCAAAGTGATGAATAGCAAGAATCTTCAACCAAAAATACTCTACCCAGCAAAGGTATCATTTGGAATTGAAGGTCAGATAAAAAGCTTCACAAACAAGAAAAAGCTAAAGGTGTTCATCACCACCCAACCAGCATTATATGAAAAGCTAAAGGGTATTCCTTAAGAAGAGGAAGAAGAAGAAAAAGGTAAAGATAAATAATATGAACAACAAAGTGACAACAAATACATATCTGTCAATAAGTTCATCTAAAAATTAAATGAATAAGAAATCTGATGAACAGAATAAACTGGTGAATGGAATAGAATCAGGGGCATAGAAATGGAACAGACTGATGATTCTCAGAGGGAAAGGACTGTAGGGGGTGTGTGAGAAGAGATTAGACAAAGATCTTATATGCATGTATGCATTACCTATGGACAAGACAATAGGTGGCGAGGGCCTGGGGTGGGGTGGGAACCGGGTGGAGGGAAGCTATGGGAGGAAAAAAAGAGGGACATCTGTAATAATCTCAACAATAAAGATTAATTTTTAAAAAAGAAAAGGAGAGGGAGAGAGAGAGAAACATGGATAAGAGAGAACTCACTTCTGTACTTTAAATGAGCAAAAACTGTCCCCTTTTCATCAATGCTATTATTCTGAATCAATTTTCCACTTTAAATCAACTAAATTCTGAAAGGGAGAGAATTTATCAGGAATTTGAAAACTGAAGTTTTAGAAATATTTTGCATAAAGGCTGTATCATTGGAATTAGTGGGAAGCCTTACTTGTTATTTTGAGGCTACTGCAGTCATTTAGTGTTTATGATTAGATTAGTCTTGCAGTCATACCTTATAACTCTTAACATCTCAAAAAAATAGTAAGTGAGAAGCTTTGAGTGCCAGCAAAGCCATTTTGTCATTCCATAAATCAACATTAAAAATAACGTTCCATTCCTCTATCTGTAAAACTTTCACATTTTTCTTTTCTCATATTTCTTTTAAATAAAATTCCTCTTTATTAGTCTATATGCTTTCAGGTCTAGAATTGCCTCATTTAAGGTTCTTGAAAAAATTCAAGTGCAGATCTCTATCAGATCCCTGGTCCTCAGGTCCATGGGTAAATGGAATCTGAGATAACCTGGGTGGAGATTTGGAATATTCAGGAAAAGCCAGTTGCAATCTGAGTATTTTGCAAGGGCAACTTTGATAATTAAGGACAGTTCCATCTGAAACCTCACAGCTAATGTGGTCAACTCTTGTATCCAAAGATGCTTATACCTCAAACCTACTATGTCCTAGTCCAGTGATGGCGAACCTATGACACGTGTGTCAGAGGTGACACGCAAACTCATTTTTTTGGTTGATTTTTCTTTGTTAAGTGGCATTTAAATATATAAAATAAATATCAAAAATATAAATCTTTGTTTTACTATGGTTGCAAATATCAAAAAATTTCTATATGTGACATGGCACCAGAGTTAAGTTAGGGTTTTTCAAAATGCTGACACGCCAAGCTCAAAAGGTTCACCATCACTGTCCTAGTCTGTGCCTCTCTTTCCATTATCCTCTTTCACTCTCAACCTATTTTCTATCCATTTTCCTTTCATTCTTTTTCCACATGTTGCCTTTGTACTTCTCCCCAACTTTCCCTATTTCTTAGTATTTCTTTTCTTCTCCATCTCTCCCTTTCTAGATGTTTTTTCTCTCAATTTTGATCTCTTATCATTGAACAATTTTTTTTTTGCTTATCTGTTCTATGGTGTCTTATACTTTTTCCTTTTTCATCTATCTCTGACTTTACCTTGACTTTCTGTCTGCCAATATTGTTTTAACTTTTGTCTCTCCATGTGATTTAATCCTCCAGGTTCCCTTCTCTCATCATCTCCAAAAGTCTCCTCTTGGACTGTGACTACAAAACCAGGGACCTCCAACTGGACAGTTGCATAATGAGGGTTTCCCATGTGAAACGGACATGTCACATTATTTCAAAGGTACTCTAAATTGTTCTGGGAAGTTAATTGAAAATTATCCCCATCCCAACCTGGAATGGTAGAATTGCATGTTCTCTTTAAAAAACTGGATCCATTCATGTAATTTGTCATATATTGCTGTCTGTTTACCTTTTCTAATTTCTCTTTTTATGTATTTCATCAATAGATACTCTGTCTACTCAGAAGCTCAGATTCCTTTTCTCCTGGTCTCTCTCACATCTGTGGACAGATAAGGACTTATAGGAAAAGTGGGGCCAGCACAGGCCTAGAATAGGAAATAAAATGTCATCTTTGCTTCCACGAGGTCAAGAAAACAAAGATTTAATACTGAATTGATAAGTTAAATGATAGTTACCTTGTCCATCATGTGGCAGCAAGCTGGGTCTATCTTCTAACCCTCTTGCATTATTCACTTGGACAGGTGACTGTTCACAGCACACTGAAGAGAGTAACAAGAAAATGACAGAACACAGTGATCAGAGAAGAGACCTCTGTGTGCTCAAGCTGAACTCTAATGTTCAAGCACCAAAGACTACACCCAACAGAGCCTTGTTCCCCTTTTTCACTGAGATGCACATTACTTGATCAAAAAACAGTTGTGTAACCAACATCACAGTCTACATTTGGAACATTTCAGGGGGGTGGGTGGAGGTAAAAAAGGGTATAGGGGGGATAAATGGTGATGGACGAAGACTTGAGTTGGGGTGGTGAACACACAATACAATATACAGATAATGTTGCATAGAATTGTACACCTGAAACCTATGTAATTTTATTAACCAATGAAATCCCAATGAATTCAATAAAAAGGTAAATAATTAAATAAATAAAGCGGGGGGGGGGGGGGAGAAAGGACCCTATGCTATAAAGAACATGGCCTTGCCAAAAGAGTGGTCTGGTTTTTTGTCCTGGCTCTTGGAGGTAACTTCTAAACCCTTGGAAATTCCCAAGTGACAGACAGAAGTGTCTTTGTTATTCATAGTGGGCTCCTTGGACCACACCTGATAGTTTATGTTAATAAGATGACTAAGGGTAGGGCCAGCCATACTAGATAGATTTTCTGTGTGGGTTGGCCACATTAGAAAGACTAACCATGTGAAGTGAGGTGGGGGTTAAAGATTCAATTCAACCCCAATTCAATCAATCATTCTATATAATAATATGCTAAGTGCCTGGTTGTCAGGTTAGTCATTCAACCTACCAAAGTGTAATATGCTAATGATATGCTAAAGCTACTCAACTGCTCACTATGACATGCACTGACCACCAGGAGGCAGACACTCTGACTGGTAGGTTAGCTTGCTGCTGGTGTCCTGACTGAGTGAGATGGGCCAGACATGCCCTGGGGCCCTCCCGCAGTCCCTCCCTAGCTAGCCAACCTTCCGCATCCCTCCCTGGGCCTGATCATGCACCAGTGGGGTCCCTCGGTCTGGCCTGTGCCCTCTCACACTCCAGGACTCCTTGGGGGATGTCAGAGAGCCTGTTTTGGCCTGACAGCAGAATGACCGGTCACTATGATGTGCACTGACCACCAGGAGGCAGACGCTCAATGCAGGAGCTGCCCCCTGGTGGTCAGTGCATTCCCACAGGGGGAGCACCACTCAGCTGGAAGCCGGGCTCACGGCTGGCGAGCACAGTGGTGGTGGCGGGAGCCTCTCCCCCTTCTGCAGCAGTTGGAAATCCCCTGAGGGCTCCCAGACTGTGAGAGGGCACAAGCTGGGCTGAGGGACCCTTCCCCCCCTGAGTACACAAATTTTGTGCACTGGGCCTCTAGTACTTATATAATAAAGCCCTAATAAAAACTCTGAATACCAAAGTGTGGGTGAGCTTCCTGAATTGATAATATGCATGGAATATTGTTGGCAATCTTCTGTGTGCATGGTTACACATCAATGTCATGTGGGTAATGCATCTTGAGAAAAATGGAAGCTTTGAGGTTGGAACACTTTGGAGGCCTCCCAGACTAATTGTTGGCTAATTTTAATGTATCTTTTTCCTGTAATAAATGTAACTGTGAGTATAGTTTGAATTGCTTCTTATTATCACCAACATGTGGTGTTTTCAGTCTATTTAACTTTAACATTTCTGGTGAATAAATTGTAGTTTGTTGTGGTTTTAAATTTGCACTTTCCTAATGATTAATGACATAGTATACTTTATGTTCTTGTTGGTCATGTTATAGCTTCTGCATAAAGTGTCTGTTCAAGTCTTTGGTCTATTTTTTGAATTAGTGGTGTGTCTTTTTATTATTTGTTCCTAGGAGTTTTTCAAATATTCCGGGTAAAACCTTTTGTCAGGTATGTATATTGTACATATTTTCTCTCATTCTCTCAACATGCCTTTCTTTTTCTTAATGATGTCTTTGGATAGCAAAAGTTTTTAGTCTTGATGAAGTCCAATTTACCAAGTTTTTGTTTTACAACCCATGTCTTTTGTGTCCTGTATAACAAAATTTTGCCTAGTTAAGTTGCAAAGATACTCTCCTGTGTTTTCTTCTAGAACAGTGATGGCAAACCTTTTGAGCTCGGCGTGTCAGCATTTTAAAAAACCCTAACTTAACTCTGGTGCCATGTCACATATAGAAATTTTTTGATATTTGCAACCATAGTAAAACAAAGACTTATATTTTTGATATTTATTTTATATATTTAAATGCCATTTAACAAAGAAAAATCAACCAAAAAAATGAGTTTGTGTGTCACCTCTGACACGTGTGTCATAGGTTTGCCATCACTGTTCTAGAAGCTACATAGTTTTAGCCTTGACTTTTAGATTTGTGATCCAACATGAATTATTTTTGTGAATGGTGTGAAATAGGAGTGAAGGTTCATTTTTCCATGTTTGCTCTGCCTCTTTTCAGTCTTTTTACAGCTCATTCTACTTTTCTCCATTTCTCACAATTTTAGTTCTAGTCAGTCTCCCATTGCTGCCTCTGCCTGAGAAACTATTTGTGCATCCTTAGTTATGAGGGCTTCTCTCTCCTTGGCACTCCTATCACTTTGTGTTTTTGCCTCTGTCTTCCCCAAGGAGGCTTCCAACTCTTTCCCCTTTGTCTCTAGTTTTTCCCTTCCAGATCCCTCTATGCTATTTGAGCATCCTACCTTTTCTGTCTCTTTGTGCTTTTCCTCCTCTCTCCTTTTCCATATAAACTGGAGACCTTTTTTTGGTAAATACATCTCCTTACATTAGACTCTGGACTACTCTTCTGCCCTATTTCAGGCTCCTTGGGACCTCCTTTCTGAATTATAACCACACTAGAGGCTCAATGCACGAAGATTCGTGCAAGAACAGGTCTTCCTTCCCCTGGCTGCTGGAACCGCCTTCACTAGAGCCCCAGCTGCCTTTCTGCCTTCGTTTGGGCCTGGAGCCACCTTTCCGCCTTCCCACACTGCCCAGAGGCCCAGAGCAGCTGGGGTAGTGTGGGACGTCTGCATCGTCGCCATGGCAACAATGCAAGCATCCCACCCCGCCCCCAGCCAATTGGTGCCTGCGTATGCAAATTAACCCACCATCTTTGTTAACCCACTACTCCTGATTGGCTTGTGGGCATCGTGAAGGTATGGTCAATTTGCATCTTTCTCTTTTATTAACGTAGATGACACAGCCCTTTCCCTCTCCCCATATGTGCTAGATTCACTCAGAGTCATCCAGGTGAATGTTGGACTGAGTCAACCTTACCTATTTGTTGAGATTCTTGAGCAGGTTCATTTGTCATTTCCTGGGTTTGTATTGAAGTATTTAGGTCATGAGATGAATCTTCTTCCTTTATACTCATTTGCTGTCCATCACTGAGATACTCTGAGATTCCAGCTCCAGGTAGGGCTTCAGCTGGATCACATTAGGAGTATTGAAGAATTTGTTTTCTCTAAACCTCTTTTACTCTACTAATATCTACTACTAATCCCTCCACCACCCCATTCTCCTTTCCCCTACCCTAGCAGTAGATGACTCTCTAAGCATACTTTTGATATATTTTGTACTTTTTAATGTACACTTTATACTCTTAGAAATTTGTCTGTATTCAAAATAAGTATGATTATTAAAATAAATCCAAATTTTATATAAATATATTAATACAGTTAAAAATGTATAATACCTGAGGTGTCCATCCAAATTAAAGAATACATATTAAATGGCAAAGCTGACTATATTCTTATGGTTTTTCTTACATTGACTATTTCGAAGGGAAAATATCAACATTTAACAAATAAATAAATTTATTGTAGACCATTTGGCCTAAGAATGACCTTTTCTTGGGCTTTAAAGCTGTTTCATTCACTGCTACTCTAGCCTGAAAAATAATTTTTTCTTCAGTGGGTGTCTGAGAAAAGAAATCTCAAAGTGTAGAGCACTGACTAAATATCTAGTTGTTGCAGTCAGGTATACATTATAATAACAGTAGTAAACACAGAGCAATTACTTTGTGCCATGAATTATTGGGCTAGTTTGTGCCAAAAATGACTAAGTGCTTTGTGTAAATAAAGTCATTTAATTCTTACAACAATATTATTTTAGATACAGATACAGATTTACAGGTGAGGCTATTCAAACACGGAAATTAAGTAACTTGCCCAAGTAAGCAAATGGTACAGCCAAGATTTAAACCTGGCAGTGGGGTCTCAGAGTCTTTGCTCTCAACCAGGTGGAGAGGAAGGTTTGAGTCCTAGATAGCCCAATTGCTATTTATCTGACATGCACACAGCACTAACTATCCTCCCTCACATTTCACTTCTTCTCCTGAAAAATAGGAATAATGAACCCCCTATGATAGCATTGTTATGAGGATTAAGAGAGATGCTACATATAAAGATATATCTGGGCTATAGTGACTTTGCTATAATGACATTAATAATTTTCAGTATTAATGTCTTATGCATTATAATTTAATGATTAGTTATTAGTAATAATACAAATGAAAGGGTGATTAAAAAGTTAGAATTGGTGGTTATTGGTTACAATTGTACATAATTCATATGTGAGCATTAAACGAGTTGATCCATATGAAGTGCTGACCTTATACCTAGTGGTCCATAAAAGTTAAGTGTTGTTACTACCATCATTGTTAAAATTCTTACTGCCCTTTATTCTCTTCTCCCCTTTTTACTCCTTTCCTTTTTCCTCTCTTCTTTTCTACACGGCACGGCTCCTACTTTCTCTTCTACACACAATTACTACTCACTCTCTTCCTCTATTTTCCTATATTATTAGGCATATTTACAACAGTAGCTTCTTTTGACATACCAAAGCCTTCTTATTTGGACATGTTACAAAGGACCAAACCCTTACTCCTTCCCAGATCCACTGAATTCCTAACTCACAAATACTGCAGTCAGTTCTTCCCTTAATTCTGCCTTTTGTTCAGAGTAAGATCTCTCTTGAGTGTATGTTCCAACTTCTTAGTTGTTATTTCTGTCTGAAATATTATTGGATTCCACGTCTGGTTGGTTAATTGGGAATCCATACAATACACCACTGCTCTGGCTTCCAATCTCCTTCTGCATCCCTTCCCCAGGGTATACTCTCCCTCAGGAATGCAGTCTCCTGATCTGTGATCTCCTTTCCTCTTAGTAGATGAGAAAACATGTTTCTATCAAGTCATAATTACCTTGTTCATAGCTTTGTTGGCAGTTGAGCATCTCTGTTGTTTCTTCACCATCAATAGCTTGGTCATGGAATGTATCATGAAGCACTGAGAAGAGGAAAGAAAAGGCAATTATAGGTCTCTGGCAGTGACCAGGGGATGCATCTCACAGTTGCACATCCAAGTACATTCTGGACTCCAGTAATTCAGAGGGAACCTTCCAGCTCTCAGGGAACCCTGGGCTTTTGTGGGTCTCACACAACCTGTGATTTGATGTTGTTCCTGGAATCCTATAGCTGTTCCACACAGAGATGCACCTCTCAAGGTTTAAAAATGATGGACAGTGGACAAGTTGTAAATCAGGGTTAAACCCCTTCAGAATAACCATAGAATGGTGAAAGCCAATTTAAAGTAAATAATGTGTTTTGTAAATTCTACATTAGGAATAGAGAAGAAGAACAGGTATTTCCTTAGGAGAAATGTAATGTTTATAGTGAAATAGACCTACTTTAAAAAAAAAAAAAAGCCCCTACATCTTTAAGGATGGAGAATTTAAAAGGAAGAAAGGAAGAAAGGAAGGAAGAGAGGGAGAAGGAAGGAAGGAAGGAAGGAAGGAAGGAAGGAAGGAAGGAAGGAAGGAAGGAAGGAAGGAAGGAAGGAAGGAAGGAAGGAAGGAAGGAAGGAAGGAAGGAAGGAAGGAAGGAAGGAAGGAAGGAAGGAAGGAAGGAAGGAAGGAAGGAAGGAAGGAAGGAAGGAAGGAAGGAAGGAAGGAAGGAAAGAAGGAAGTAGATCTTGGGTCAGGGAAGATTATCTGGTTACAAAGAAAGAGATATAAAACTAAAAAGAAACTAGAACTTCCCCACGGTGGAATGAGTGGGAGGAATCCAGGAAACAAAAGGAAGATACTTTCTCTAAGGCAGAAACAAGAATAATATTTTCTTTTCTAATTATTATTAATTTTCACCTGAGGTTATCTTTTTATTAATTTTGAGAGAAAGAGAGAGAGAGAGAAACATCAAACATTGATGTGAGAGAAACATAGTTAGGTTGCCTTCCTTATGTGCTCAATTGGGATTGAGCCCATAAACTTTTTGTTGTACAGGATGACGCTCCGACAAACTGAGCCACCTGGTCAGGGCAGGAATGAATATTTTCTGAGAGGCACAAACCGGAAGTGAATATAGCACAGCTGTACCAGTGACCCAGGAAGTGGTACAAGAAGTTCAAGAATTCAGTCCAGGCACTGCACTTCAAAGATGCATGCTGAGGTAACTCAGAAAACAGATGAAAAAAAGCAAGACTTCCAAGACATGAGGAAAAACACCCAAGAAATACAGAAAGATGCTGGCCTAGAAGGACAGGTGACTGGAGCAGACTTTCTGGGTACAAATCCCACTGGGGGATCAGGGCACTAGTGAGGGGATGAAGGTGGAAATTTCCTACCAGAACAACAGATGCATTTGCCACACCAAGGACATGTTGACTTCATGTCCAAGCAAAGTCTGGAGGAGGACATGCCATATAAATGCTGTAGGGTCTAGAGAACATAAAGGGAGACCCCAAGCACAGGCATTTCAAAAATGAGGGGTCTTCTCTACACCTGCATGCCACCCTTCTAAAAGCTTGGGGTTTGGGCTGAAGACCCACAGCTCCCATGTACATCTGGGCCTGGGAGGTACCAGCAGCAACCTACTCTGGGGGCAAGTGGGCAGCTGCACTGGGCCAGGCAGTGAGTAGCGCAGCCATATCCCTGCTAGAGAACCCCAGGAACTTACATGTGTGATGTGGGTGCTGGGGCCAAGGTAGGGGTAACCCCACAATCCATGGAAAGAATTACACACCCTAAGATGTAGGGAGTAAAGGAAACTGCCATTCTATTTATACCCATGATCCAGGGACATGCTTAAAATTTGTGACAAAGTATTTGATTTCTTCAATCCTTTCTCTGACTGAGATATATCATAGTGTGAAAATGAGGTGGCTCTTATTATCAAGATATGGCTTCCACAAATCAACACATCCATTCTTTACACTGACTTCTTTTACTTTTTCTCTTTAAAAATCTTTATTACTTCTTTATTTCTTTCCTTGGCACAGAGTCTTGGACCCTCAAAAATTCTTTCCAACTTTCCTTTTCAGAATTAGCTTCCTAACACTCTTTCCTATGTTCTATTTCTTTAGCCAGAGAATACTTTAAGTTTCTTTTGCATTTTGTAGCTTTCACATGCTGCCCCTCCCTATGTATGGGTATGTGCTGATGGACTCTTGTGACTTCTCCACTCTTTGTTTTGAGAAGTTAGTAAAGGTCTGAATTTAAGTACAACTTTTCTAATACAAAGGAAACCTTTTCATTTTTTAACATTTCTGAAAATATCAGAGAGGGTTTTCTTCTTTCTTATAAAGGAGCATAATTCATATCTTCTGCCCATACAGTAGAGACTCAAATACTGTGGTTTTTAACACCAAATTCAAGCCATGACTGAGGAATCATTTATGGGATTTCTTGGTTAACCTTTGTCACCCCACTATGTGTGAGCTCCATGAGAACACAGGTATGTGTTTTCTTCAACTTATGCTTACCATGTAGTGGTTACTCAAAATAATTATCA